AAAAAAAAAACCCCCCCCCCCCCCCCCCCCCCCCCCCCCCCCCCCCCCCCCCTTCTTGCCTCTCTCCACGGTGTCTGTCATTTTTTACTCTTGCAGTCACCACTGTGTATCATTACTGTCACAGTGCAACACGAGCCTGTTCTCTCCTTCCTGTGGACTGATAGTTAAGCTATCAGCACATCTCACCATCTGGTGAATCAGTGTTAGTAGCTGATTATCTGGCGATAGCAATGTGCTAACGTACGCTGTGACAAGGGTAGAGCGTTTAGTATTTCAATTTGACTCATTTAGCGGCCGGCTCGTGTGCTAGCTAACGTCAGCTTGCTAATTCCACTGTGTTTTCATGCTCTGGCTATGCTGGTTACAGGAAATGAGTGGAACAGCTCTCTGGGGGCCATCGACCCCTGCTTCCCCGTCACTAGGAGGCTACAGCCGGTAATAGAGCAGGCTGAGGTTTTTCAAGTTTTTCTTGCCCTCATACATAACGTTTTATTTATTGGCGCTTATCAAATAATAGAAAAACAAGGTTAATCGACCCTTCGCTAAGTCCCGCCTCTAAAACGCAGTCTGTCCAATCATTAGCAGAGTACGTTAGCACCTCATTAACTGCCGTTGGCACGTCTATGCTACGCTAGCTACTAAAGGTGTACTGAATGTATACACGGGCTGTTTTTGCCTTTTAATGATTGTAACAGTGAATAAAGATCTACCCGGCTTTACAGGAACAATGTTGATCCTTAATTTCAATGTCTTCTGTCTCGATCTCCACGATGATTCACCTTACACTGTAACCAGCTGGCTTTAGCTTCTATCTTTTATCTATTTAGCTCATTTTTTTTAGCTCATTTTCACTGCTGAATCACTTTGACAACCTTTCATACGCACATTGTAAACCCTTCTATCTGCTTCTCTCTGAAATCGCTTTGTTGTTTTTCAAAAAGTGTGATCATATGTATCCAGGGAGTGAAGTTAGTGACAGTGTGGGCTCCAATGTAGCTCTGACAGCTTGATCGAGTAGCAAAAAACAATGCGTTTAATTCTTTTGTACCACTTGCAATCCCTCCAGCATCTCCATATCACAACTGCGAGTTTTCTTTTCACTCTACTAATTAAAAACCCAAGAGGTTTTACCGCCGCCGTTTTTCTTTTCTTCTAGCTTTTTATAAGATCCATCAGCTTCATTAAAAAAAAATCTGAATGCAGCAAGCCGGGCATATGTCTCTGGGTCATCGTTGCAGCGATATCCAGGGAGGAAATGATGTGTGAAAGCGACACACTCGCATGAAAGCTCGTCAAAACGAACCCGCGGAGATGTCCGTCTTAGGGGTGTTTTTCTTCAAAGGAATTCAATTAGCCGGAGTTGTTTGTCTCGCTTCGAGGGGCAGGTGTAACCGATGCCGTCGAGCTGATAGCATCACGCACAGTCCCTTATCGGCCCGCCACTTCCACCTGCCATGGCTCGTCTTTGTGTTCGGCTCCAAATGTGCAAAGTCAGTCGCCGGTAGTCAAGTGTGGCTTCATTTCCCTCTGAAGGGAATCACATTTGCTCATTTACATCTGGGGCGCAGGCAAGGCATGAGAGTGCCAGCAAGCGTGGCTCTCTCTCTCATATCCTGCTCAACATTTTCCATTTTTAATCTCCCTTTTTCTTCTTTCTCTCCGATTCCATTCAGCTCTCAAGTCCATTTAGCCTTTTATTCAGAAGGTTAATAGTGCACT